CAAAAATTTTGCTTTGAAATTTTAAATCGCGCCTTTGTTATTTCAACCTGATCTAATAAAAGCCCCTTTTATTTTAGATATTCTTAGATTTTTAGGAATTTAAAAAAGCCCCAAACGACAACAAAAAAAAAAAAACCCTTTTCGCAGGGATTTAAAGAACTGCTGATTAAAAATTAAAATTTTTTTTTTAAAAAATAACAAAGTAAAAAAAAAAGGAAAACCCTTTTTTTTGGGATTATAAAACGTACAGTGAGGGGCTTGGAAACCGAATAAAACTTTAAAGAAGCATAAAAGACACTATATTGAGGGGATTGTCGTGCACATACTAAGCTTCACTGTTGATTTATCACTTTCTGGTGTAAGGTGTGGGGCGAGATTAATGTGGTAAAATACATCAGAAGGTTTTTTTTTCCTGAGCCCCTTTCCGGGGAAAACCTTTTCAGCCGGTTCTTCCGAGAGCATAATGAATCAAAAACCCTCCCCCGAAAACAAAACGATGCTAGTAAAAATATTATCAGCAGCGCTTTGTAAATAAATTTTACCATTTGGCCGTCTCCAAAGGGAAAGGGTTGGCTACTGGCTTTTCTACTTTCTGTGAAAATTTTTGGGTGATGGGTGGTAATAATTCACAGCCGTCGTGAAGCTCTTTCCTCTGTCTGAATACCGCGGAATTTTCTTTTTTTAAAATTAAGGGTCTGCTGAACATCAACCAAACTATAGGTCAAATTTAAAAAGAAAAAACACAATAAAGACATCGAGAGAATTAGGGACATTCCCAGCCAGGACCTTAAAAGCACCCTATAACAAAAACAGAACATATACAAAAAACTGTAGCAACACCAAGAACAACAGAAATGGTGGGACCCGAAAAAATACAAGGAAACTAAAAAACCCGCTAGGTAGGCCAAACCAAAAAACTGACCCTAAAAAACCTAACCTGGAAATGTTCAACATCCACTATCTTGGAGGTGGGTTTTATACTGGGGGGGGGGGGGGGGGGGGGGGGGGGGGGGGGGGGGGGGGGGGGGGAAAGGAAACTCAATCAGCTTGGACAAAGCTAGAACCGCCTGTGGACAAGATGAATCTAGCAATCCAGTTGTTACTGCAGAGAAAAAAACAACCTGATTCTACAATAGCATCATGTTGCTTGTTCTTCTTTATGGAACAGAATGCTGAAGAATGACTAAACAAAAAGGACGCGCACAAGCAATCCCCATTTCACCATACATGTCTATGTAGAATTATCAACATGTTCTTGACAGATACAAACAAAACCTTCAAATCATAGTAAGTAACTCGGATAAATGAAAACCAAAAAAAAAAGGAAATGGTTTGGAACGTTATGAAGAATCCTGAAAACCTGCCAAACAGATCTCACTTGGACACCAGGGGGAACGAGAAGAAAGGCACACCCAGCCAACATCCCCCCCCCCCCTTCCCCAATGGAGAACCAGGAAAATGGGATGAGTATGCATCGTTGACATGGATAAAGCCTAAAGATTGCCCGGGAAAGGAGGGAAATCCCTCTGGAGCCTCATGTTCCTAGACAAAAAGAAAATGATGACCCCCCACCGCCCCCACCCTGGATTATAGGTTACTTGGCTGCCATGTCGTGTAAGTCTCGGGGAATTTTTATTGTAAACACTTTTCGGCTTTGCGAGGGTGACTCAACCTCCCCAAGCCCGCTAACAAGCAAAAAAAATCTTTGACATCACAAGCGGCCCCACAACGTCTGACGGGTTCTTCCTATTTTGGGTACGGGGCACCCGTAGACACTATATCTTCGTGAGGGAGTCGGCAGTCCAAACCCAATTTCAAGGTGGGCTAGTTCGGGCCAAAAAAGCAGGCTTTTTTGGGGGAACAGTCGTTTTAAAGAAGGCGTCAGGTCATTTTTCAGGGGACCTTTCTGGGGGTGTAAGTCCAAATCCCTTTCCCCAAATATAGTAGGTATGCGGGTGACGTTTATTAACCCCCCAAAAATGCTTCGTCAAATGAAAATAGGGATGCCACTGTTTTAACCCAGAAAAAATTTTTTGCTTCTGCCAGACTGGGCCGTTTTTTTTTTGCTCCCTTGTAACCCCAAAATATATAGTTTTTGTTGCCACTTCTGAGTTTAGTGCATGGGGGACACTGGAGCTGCGATTTCATTTGGAATGTTTTTCGACTGACCACGTTGGTGTGATTTTTAGGTTCAAAAATGGCGCGATCCCGGGTTTTCGCAATTGGGGGGCCTTATTTGATTAAATTGACGCCTGTGCAAATAACTGTGGGCTTTTGGTGCTTCCCGTACCTCAATGAGAACCGCTTTTCTAACTTCGGACTGTTTTTGTTAGCATTCGGAGGGTACCATATGCTTTTAATGCGAGGGTATCAGTTTGCAGAGACGGGTTTGTCGTTTTTCCCACAAGGGACTTGATAAAAGCTGGGGTTTTTTTCGTTGGACAAGCAGAGCAAAGAGGGGTTACCCGTTGTAGAAGCTGAAATTACCAATTTTGGGGAACGAAATTGCATCTTTAAATGGGGGTTATTCAGCGTCCCATTTTAAACGGAAGGAGAAATTAAAAGCTGTGTTCAACAAAGATAAACCCCCCGATACACAAATGCCACTACCCGGAAGAATCTATAGGGCCCCACAAAACCTTTAAAATTTTTTAATGATATAAAGGGGCCCCATACGCAGGATGCTTCTTTAGAATAACGAAAAATTTAGTCCCATAATGAGACGACAGATGATAAGAGTGAAAGCTGACAGACTGACCTTTCAACCCCATTAGGACATCACACTGAGCGATAGACACCTGATGACACAAAGTGCCACCATTCGGATGAAAATCATCTGTAGAGAGGTCCAGTAAACCCTGTTCAACCGTAAGATTATATTAGGGCCCCCAGCAACAGCCGGTGTAGGCCTTCAAAATAAAGAAAATATTGTTCCGAATGGGAACGGGGAGAGTGAAAGTGATTTGTATTTTTTTGATTTCATTTTGAGATTTTTATCCAAAAGCAAATTGAAAAGAGCGGGGGGGGGGGGGCGGGGGGTAGAGCGGTGGGTGGGGGAGGGGGGGGCAGGGAGCTTTAACAAAAAGTATAAACTACTTCAAGTCACATACTGGACAGTATGAGGGGGTAGGGAACTTTTTTTAAGTAAATGCTTTAACTTACCTGTATAAAAAAAAAAAAAAAACTTCTTTAGTAATAAGCTGAATAAATTAATGAATTCCGTATTTTAAAATGTTGACAGGTGTGCGATTTTATTTCCAAAGGAGCTAATGTAAGTTATATCCCTTCGCAAAGGGTTCCCTACGCCTACCGTGGTAATCAGTGGGTGGGCTTTGATGACCTCAAGAGTGTTTTTCAAAAGGTACGTTGTTCCACAAACGCTGAACAAGAGCGCAGTATGTAAAGTTGATTAATACGCTTGTATAATTTCTGTTTAGTCTCATTTGTATACTCTCCTGTTTGATTTCCAAGGTTCTAGTTTGGAGGCAGAAAAGTATACCCATCGTTTCTCAACAATCATGTCATAGAAGGCGAATAGTAAAAATTTTGCATATTTTTTGTGAGCTATAGAACAAGCTGCCAACAAGTAGAAAACAAGAAAGCAGTGACTGAATTAATGTTGCGAATCGACAACACAGATCACAGTACATACCTATAGATGCTCCGTCTTCCACATCAAATGTCCTAAGGTGTAGATGCTTACAGTTTGCGTGGCACAATGATTACACAAACGTTGTAATCTGTCTCTAACAGGTGGGGGATTGGGTTTTTTCCTTTGAATTGGGGAACATGATCACTTTCAGGGTTCAGAGTGGACAAAAAGATAGCAAAATGGAAGCGAAAAACAGAGCAGGGAACTATATGCAGAAAAAGAGTTTTAAAGCATTTTTTTAAATTATAAAAATTTATTTTTCTTTTATAAAAATTTCCTTACGTAAAAATAAAAAACATTTTCATAGAATAATTCCCCTTTTGTGTCCAAAATTTATAGGAGGGGGGGGGTTGGGAAAAAAAGGCACATGAATTAAAAGGTTCACTGCCTTGATACAAATATAATTATTTCTTCTTCTTTTTCTTTTTTTTTTCGTTTTTCTTTTAAATAGTTTTCTTAGTAAAAACCTTTTTTAATTTCCCTTTTAATTTTGGTCTGATTTAAAAATTTAAAAAATAGGAGAACAGAGATCCTTGCTTTAAACCGTGGGATTTGAAAAGGATATGACTTTTTGCTCTTGTTACTTAAGGGGCTTCAAATTTGTTTTGCCCTGGCATTAACTTTTCATATTGGGAGGTAATCATACCTTCCATAAACGAAATGCACAATTTCATTTGACTTTTTAAAAACTCCCAAAAAACTGTTGTACTCCCCTTTTATTCCAAATTGTGATCTCTGTTTGCAGTAACATAAATTTTCGGGATCTTTTTATTTGTTATTCAAAAAAATTCGTTTCGTTTTTACAGATTTTGCTTCTTGATCCAAAATACAAAAAATGACAAATCGGTGATTTTACTTTTTTACTAGGTTATTTTCTTGTTTAAAACTAATTTTAAAAATTTAAATTTTAAATTCTTTTTCCCCTTTCTTGATGAAAAAATTTGTTGAAAAACAAAATCACATCACAGACTGTGGCCACCTCATAAGCGCTCAGCCCCATTTTCACCCAGTAAGTGAAGATTTTCCATTTCCCCCTGGCGCCATTAAACTGTTTGAGGGAAAAGGGTCTGCCTTTCCCTTTAGTTTTGAGCTTCGGCTAGATTCCCTGGAAACTCCTCGCGGGCCCCCATTTCCCCCGACTAAAAATGATCACTTTTTTACTCGCTCCAAAGGCCCCTGAAAAACACTAGCTTGTCAAAATTTATTTACCAAAAAGGGGGAATAAGTAAATTCCCCTTTAAAATGTCCACTTCCCTTTTTTTAATAAAAGGATTTAATAAATAATTATAAAGTCATAATAAATTTTTTAACAGTAAACTCCCTTTTAAAATCAGGTTTTGGCACTCGGTGTTTCAAGGTTTTGGGGGTTTGTCAGTTTGTGGACGCTAGATTTGATGATTTTTACTGGTGTTTTCCCTGTAAGGGGGGGACATTTCCCCGTTTTTAAACTATTAAAACATTTTAAATCAAACAGACAAAGACCGGGTGTCAAGTAGGTTTAAATTGTATTTTTTTTTGCAAAATTTAAATTAGTATTTTGATTTCCCGTTTTGTTTCCGCTTGACCCTTTTGGACAGCAAAATTTCCAACACACACTAATACACACACACCACAAACCCACACACAAACATATATATTTTATATATTAAAATTAATAGTTATTATATGTGGGTGTGGTGTGTTTTTAAACACATATAAAATAGATAATCGACAGGCAGACGGGGGGGCCCGGGATTGATGGGGGGTTGGAAACATGTTTTAAATTTTTAATGCCCAATCCCGGGAAAGGTCGATATTAAAGAAACCCTTGGGGGGGGGGGTTTTTTAATTTGGGACTTTGGCTTTGGGTTTACCCCGTTTAAAAATACCAATCACCCACAGAATCGTTTTCCCGCTGCACCCACGGTCGGTTTTTTCGAAACCGGGGGGTTTCCCCGGGGTTTCACCCTCCCTTCTGGGAAAATGGTCCCGGGTTTTGACACCCCTGGGAAATGAGGAACGTCGCTGAAATACAGAGTTTCCTTTGAGCCGGCGAAAAAGGGGGGGGGGGGGGGGGGGGGGACTGTTCTTTCTGCTGCCCCGTCCCGGGTGCAGAGCATTTTTGGTTTATAACCGTTTTGAAGGCGCGGTTTCAAAATGCCGGGGTTTTTTTTTTTAAAACCCCCAAAACCGTTGGGGAAAAGAAAAGGGCGGCATGCGAGTACAAGTCAATCACATCGAGGGGTCTATAAAAAAAATAAGGTCTAAACTTTGCGCCCCTGAAACCTTGGGGTGTAGGGGCCCCTTCATTTTAAAGTCAAAACGTCTGCCCCGTCCCGGGTCTACACAATGAAGGTTTGAATGCAAGGGATCTCCTTAATCCCCTTTTATTGGTTTTGGGGTTGTCCCTTTTCCAGGTGCATCTACATCTTTTTCCCCTGATGTTGACACCCCTTTTGTTTTTGGTTAGGGAAATTTTTGCTATTTTGTTTTCCTTCCCTTTCGACTGCCCCCTCCATGTGTTTTTTAAAAAAGGGGTTTGGTTTTTTAATTTTGTCGAAATTTTTCAATTGTCCCTTTTTTTTTATTTCATTAAATGCCCCTTTTCATTCGAAAAATTCTCCAAAATTGTTTGGATTTTTTTGGGTTTTCCGTAAGTACGACTTCTTTTCTGTTATCCACTTTTCCAGAGACTCATTGGGGTTTTTCCCGTTGTTTGTTCTTGTCGGGTTTTTCGGCGAAATAGAGCATTTTTTGGGAATATCACCCCTTTGGTGTTTATCATTTTTAATGTTAACCTTTAGCCCCCAATAATTTACGGAGTTCCTAAAGATAGCTTTTTTCGATTCTTTTTTCTTTTAAATTTTTCTTTCAGTTTACTGTTTAAAATTATGGAATCCCCTAGATCAGAGAAGAGGCGCAGCTGCCCCTTTTCCCAAAAAGGGATGCTTTTGGGGGTCATCATTTTTTTTTGGGAAATTCCCGCACGAAATAGTTTAATTTTGGGCAACATGAAAGCGGGAATCAAAGAAAAAAAAAAAAAAAAAACATTTTACCTCGCCTTTCCGGCCCACACCCCCCAAAATACAAAAACACCTCTAACCCCCAACCCCCAACCCCGCCCCAAAACCCCCCACACACATAAACAAAAATTCGCTCACATACGTTCCCCCAAACACTATAAAAACCCTTCTTTTTGGGGTCAAAAGGGATTTTTTTTAAAAAAAAGCAACAACTTTTTCCATTTTTCCATGGTAAAAATACAATTGGGGAATAATACGTTGCCCCTTTTGACTAGGGCTTTTACCGATAGGATTGCACTTTTGGGGCCAAATACTAATAGTGGCCCAACTATTCGGCCGAATACGAATAAAAAATACGAATTGAACCCTCATCTTTTAGGTCCCTTTCCCGGGACGGGCATGGGGGGATTTCCCCTTGCCCCCAATCTAGATCCCCTGCAGCATTTTTTTTATTTGTGGGCGGAAACCCCTCCACCCAAGGCAAAAAAAACTGTCAGAATCTTCTTGGGGTTTTTCCTCATCCCCCCTTCCCACATTCTTTCCAGGGGTCCCACATTTTCCCTTTTTTCCTCATCTTTTTCCCCATGGCTAAAATTTTTACTGTCTCATTTTGAGGTCTGGGAGGGGGGTTGTCTTGGGGCTCCACCTCTACCCAAAACCTTTTGGTTGCTTTGTTTTTGGTTTTTGTTGTTTTTTGGGGGGTTTT